CAGGATACCTAATTCTGTCTGTGAGTAACTGTTGATGAAGTAGAAGTACCTATTCATTTTTGATAAAATGGATTCTGGCTCCAGCAACCTTCAATCTAAATTGTTAATAGATCAGGAATAAGCACTTGCAGTCCACAGCATAATGGCTTGTACTTGAAGAGGAGATTAGTGCCTTGGTGTGAAGAAAGGTGTGGAGGGGAGTCTAGTTGTAAGTGCTTGTAGTATCACTGTGCTCTCACATCCCATCTGTCTGCTGGAGGCGTTGGTGACAGTCTGTAATCCACAGTGTTTAAATTGTAGAAGCCACCAAAGACTTCACAATACAGTACTCTGCCAGGAAAAAGCTGTTTTCAGTGAAATTAATACAGCCCATAGGGGAAAAAAGTCACATGAACAGGAAACTCAAAGTAATCAAACTGGAGAAGAGGATTGTAATTGCATATGCCAAAGCACAGCAGCCCCAGACCTAAGCAAACTTGTTTACTATTTGGTTTTGCCTCTAGCTGTAAACTCGGTGTCTTCATAGGTTACCTCATAAAATTGCTTTGTGTTTGTGTGTCTGCTGTTTCCTCTTATCAGCTGGGTTGCCATCTTCTGTTGCAGCCACAGAGCCTTCCCTGGGGTGTGCAGCATGAGACTAGCTAATATCCTGTACAGTCCTGTCTTGCTGTCTGGCTCTGAGTCAGTTTGGAGCTGTTGTTCCTCAGGGCTGGGGGTGAGAACTAGTCACAAGTCATATGCTCAAGCCTCTGTCTCCTGCAATAGGATGTGGTTGAGGTCTGGTTTTCAAATAGGCTGGAGACAAGTTCTATGCTGATAAGGTTAGTGACTCTACTGAGCTAAAGCAGTTCTTTTTTAATTCCATCTTTCTTAACATAGCCCCAAGCTGACTGCCTTTTTTCGTTGTTCTGGAAACCAGAAAGCAGAAACTGCCCTTAGGGCACGTGCAATTCAGTACATGGATTTTTTACCAAATACTCAGAAAGTTAATTTCTTTTAAATGGTGAAGCAGGAATTGTGGTGGTAAAGCCTTATGTGGTGAGGAAGATTTCAGACTCTGAGCTGGGACTGGATTGAAGAACAGAGAGAAGACCCTCTCCAACTGCAAACAGTTTAGGAAGGTACAGGTCTAGGATTTAGCTCCTTTCACCATAAACAGGTCACTCTGTAGGAGGGGGACCAGGAGGAGTAACAGGTTCGTTAGGGTAATGGATGCAGAGCCATTGCTTTTAGACAGTACTTCAAATTTTGCTTTGAAAATTAATTCCCCTATAGAAGGCTTGGATCTTACCAATATGGAAATGGAGCAGAAACTGATTTCCCTGCA